CTTGTGGTAGTGGATTCCAACTTTAACAAACGAAGTAATGGACAAGTACTTTCTTTATCTTGCAACAAAGCTGCACTGGATCACCCTGAGCTTTATGGAATGGTGTGGCAGAAGTTTCGTTACAGAAAACCAGAAGTTTTCCACTTCAGAGGTCCAGCTACAGAGGGAGCACTAAGCGCCAGCTGGGAAGGAGATGTACAAAAACCTCTGCAAATTTCCTTAACATAAAAAAGCCAAGGGTCAGGGTCCCAAAGGACACACCGTATCCCTTCTGAGGTTACTGAGAGGGCAGGAGGGGGGCCGCGAGGTCGTTCACAGCCGCTGGCTGTTACTTTGGACGCCGGTGGGTGAACATGAGGACCACCACTTTAGAGGCGGCAACGTTAAGCTATGTTCGTGTGCATTCGATGTATTCACTGTTCAAGTGCAAAATATCTTACCAAGAGGTCTGATCATGTATTTGCAATTAATCTTTCTAAGCTATCCTAGGGTAGGGTGGAGCTTAGAATGATTTAAAAACAGGGTATTCTTCGAAATAGAAATAGGTGACAGGAGGCTGTGCGAGTGACGCACTACCGGAATTCATGGTTCCTGTCATAGATCTGGGTCTGGAGACTTGGTGACACCCCAAGAAGGATTCAGAGCCCAATATGACACTGGGGGGAGGGGGGCAACAAAGGAGCCCTGATACATCTTCCAGGCTGAAGGACTCCCCTCTCCGTTCAACAGCAGCCTCCACAAAAGCCCCTCCCATGGCCTCTCGTGTTTGTACAGCGACGTAGGAGCTTAATTCTAACAAACACTACAGATGTTAGACGGGCCCCTTAAGGTTTGCAGTCTGTATTCCGAGGGAGGTAAAGCTTTTGAGTCGCCTGAGCAGATCAGCCTTCTTAAGCACTTAGTTGCCAGAAGAACAGCTTGGCTCAGCCCAGCCTAGCAGCTCATGTCCAAGGTGCTATTCTTCTCTCCACTTGCTGTGGTCAACCGCTGGCTGAACATGACCCTTTCTCGCCAGTCATAGTCTCTGTCACCTTCCTGAACACCCGACTGTCTGGCTCCTTGCCCCAAGGCACACTAGCCAGGGCTGTTTCCTTCCAATACCGATGGCTGGCTGGCTATTTATTCATTTATCTATTGCTAGCTTTTCTACCCCGTCCGCCATTAGGGTCTCGGGACGGCTTACAATAAAAGCAAGTAGAATAAAACAAAACACCACAGCATCTGACAACTGAAATACTAAAACCCCAGTTAAAATCAATTAAACATTACGATGATGGGAAAATAAAAAGGTTTTCGCCTGACACCGAAAAGAATATAATGTCAGCATAATGTCAGGCGAACCTCTCATGGGAGCGTATTCCATAGTTGGGGTGCCACCGCAGAGAAGACCCTCCTCCAGGTAGTCATCCTCCTAATCTCCTTCAAGGAGGGCTCCCGGAGCAGAACCTCCGCCTCACATCTAAAGGGGCGGGAGGGCAAGAAGAAGGTGCTCCTTCAGGTATCCAGGACCCAAGCCGTTTAGGGTTTTATCACCAGCACCTTAAATTGGGCCCAGACTTCAATTGGCAGCCAGCGTAACCGATAGAGGACCAGCGCTATATGTGAATACCTGGTGGTCCCTGTTAACACTCTGGCAGCTCTGTTCTGAATCAATCGACATATCCAGACCATCGTCAAGGACAGCCTCACGCAGAGCACATTGGTGTTGTCAGTCGTGAACTCGTGTCCGACCCATCGCGACCCCATGGACAACATTCCTTCCTGTCCTCCACCAACCCCCGGAGTCCACCTAAGCTCACGCCGACTGCTTCCGTGACTCCATCCAGCCCCCTCATCCTCTGCCGTCCCCTCCTTCTTTTGCCATCTATTGTTCCCAGCATTAGGCTCTTCTCCAGGAAGTCCTTCCTTCTCATGAGGTGGCCAAAGTATTTGAGTTTCATCTTCACTATCTGGCCTTCTAAAGAGCAGTCAGAGTTGATCTCCTCCAGGACTGACTGGTTTGATCGCCTCACGGTCCAAGGGACTCGCAGGAGTCTCCTCCAGCACCACAATTCAAGGGCCTCAATCCTTTTGCGCTCAGCCTTCCTTATGGTCCAGCTTTCACAGCCATACATTGCAATTGGGAAAACCATAGCCTTGACTATACGCACTTTTGTTGGCAGGATGATGTCTCTGCTTTTTTTTTTTTCCAACCAGGAAGTTACCAGAGCGTGGGTCACCATTGCAAGGCAATGCTCACCCAGGTAAGGACGCAGTTGGTGGATCAGCCGAAGCTGAAGGAAAGCGCTCCTCAGCACTGCTGCCACCTGAGATTTGAAGGACAGCTCTGGGTCAAGGAGCACTCCCAAACTGTGAACCCTGTCCTTTAGGGGGAGTGCAACCCCATCCAGGACAGAGCTGGAATCACTTACGTGGAAGGCTGAACCGCCCACCAACAGGACCTCCATCTTGCCTGGATGGACCCTCAGTTTAATGGCCCTCATCCATTACCTCGGCCAGACACCAGTTAAGGAGAGCCACTGCCTCACCTGGTCCAGATGTAAAAGAGAGGTAGAGCTGGGCGTCATCAGCATACTGATGACTCTGCAGCCCAAACCTCCAGATGACCTCTCCCAGCAGTTTCATGTAAATCATGGGTCCTCAAACTATGGTCCGCGGGCCGGATACATCCTGCCATGGCCATTTACCCAGCTCACCTCAGAGCTTTTGGAATTATTCAGAGAGAGTCCGAAAGCATTGAGCCAGTGCATGCTTTCTCTGAAACTCTTTAAGTTTCGGAGACTAGCAGAGAGCCAGTGCACACGCCAAATTGTAACAGCTCCCTTCAACTGTGCATGCGCCAGCTCTTCCCCCCATATTGCATGCATATGTTGGCTCTGAATACAGAGCGGGAATATGGATTGGGAATACAGAAGAGAGGAGGGCGGAAGAGAGAGAGAGAGAGACAAAGACACTAAAAAAGGTAAGAAAAATATAACTTTTAAAATCTATTTTTAAGTATGTGAGCCATGTCCCTGGGCTGCAGGCCAAGCTGCGGCCGCTTTGCCGAGCCCAGGGGTGGGCAGGCTGAGGCGGAGAAGGGCCATGGCTCCTGCGCCTCCACCACAGCCTTCACTGGGCAAGCCACCGCCATCTGTGGCTGCCATGCTTCCCCAAAAAGCGGTGAGAGGCGGGAGGTGCCCTGCCTGGCCAGCCGCGGCCCCATCCCTCGCCTCGAAAAGCAGCCTTTACCTCCCTCCTCACAGCCCTCTCCCGGCCGGGGGAGCCACCCCACACTCACCTCTCCGGCCTCCCACTCTGTTGGAAGTGGGGCAGCGGCGAGGACTGTAATTTCCATCATGCCCAACCAGCATGGCCAATGGAAGTTGTAGTCCAACTCATCTGGACAGTACCAGTTTTGGCAAGGTTGCATTAAAATATGGCAGTCAGTAGCTCTGCATCCAAATACAGCCATTGTGTACTATGGGAATTGTTCTGGGCTGACTTGCATCAAATACTACGAGTGGCATTAACAGTATTTATCCTTAGCATTTTTGATCATTCTTTGTCAATGCCAGTTGCAGACATCAGCTGTGTTATGCAAAATACTTTATTTAGTGCCTTGGCTGTGTTGTAGCTCTGTCCCTTGAATATGGACATGCTCTTCCCCACCTCATGTTGGGCTTCTGTTGCAGCCTGAGGGAGCAGAGCAAACCTTATTTAATTTTTTTAATTTTAATTAATTTTTAAATTTATTTTAATTTTAATGTGCAGTGGGCATAGGAATTAAGTCATATTTTTTTCAAACTATAGTCTGGCCTCCCAACAGTCTGAGGGACAGTGAACTGGCCCTGTTTGTAAAGTTTGAGGATCCCTGATGTAGATGTTAAAAAGCATGGGGAATAAAATGGAACTCTGCGGAACTCCACGCCAAAGTTGCCATGGCGCAGAGCCATAATCCCACAGCACCACCTTCTGGAATCGGCCAGACAAGTAGGAGTGGAACCACCACAAAGCAGTGCCACCAACTCCCAACCCGGCCAGCCTATCCAGAAGGAAACCATGGTCAACGGTATCGAAAGCCGCTGAGAGGTCCAGAAGAACACTCCCGCTGTTCCTCTCCCTGGACAGGTCATCATACAGGGTAACCAAGGCAGTTTCAGTTCCACAGCCGGGTCTGAGGCCAGACTGAAATGGGTCTAGAAGACTGAAATGGGTCTAGATGGTCAGTTTCCTCCAAGAGTGCCTGGAGTTTTCCTGCCACCACCCGCTGGAGCACCTTGCCCAGAAACAGGATATTGGCCACTGGCTTATAGTTGGTGGCCATCTCTGGGTCCAGAGTCACCCTCTTCAGCACAGGCCTGATCAGCACCTCCTCCTCTGTTGATCAGATCAATCTGATCAATAAATCTTCATGCCATTACTTTGGTATGTTTTTCTCTAACTCTGCCTCCCTAGTTGCTGTCAAAAACGGAACAACATAGCATCAAACCCTACAACTAGGAATGGGCTAATCTGCCAAGCTCAGTTTTGCTCAGTTCCTAATTCCTCCCAATGCGAAGTCTGTATGACAATTTATACACTTTTTGAAAAATTAAATGTTTGGTATGTACACACATTTGCAAATATATTAATTTGCCCTATGGAATAAAAACATTTTGCCAGTATTTTTGTGCGACCTTCATCACAAACCTCAGAAATACAGGGATCTTAGAAGCAATTTGCATTTCATTTTGTGTTTAGTCACAAGAAGTGCAAATCTGGTAAATTCAAATTTAATTTATCACCCATCTCTCCTTCAAACACAGCATTATTTTTGGAAGTGCAAGTATTCATCACAATTAGAGGTCCAACAAGGATCTCATTCAAGCTACCTGGAAACGGCCCTTGCTGAATGCCATTAGATCGCTATTCTTGCAGATTCCTGGTCACAGCAGCCACCATTACAAAGACCAATAATATGAGTTAAAGAAGACTGGGTCAAAAGGGTTGCATGGACTGAACGACCTCAATATCATCACCTTGTTTTTTCGTAACTGATGAATTCCACAGGTCTGTTCTCTGCTTCCTTTTTTGATTATTTACATCTGGGTGGATGTGGACCTAAACACATAAGTGACACCAATAAGTATAAAGTGAAAGAGCAAGGCATCTATGCCACATCACAAATGCCATCAGATGACTTACAGAAACTATTAGTAGCTACCATGAGTTGTTAAAGTGTCATTAACAGGGTGTATGCAAGCAAGGAATGAATTTTTAAAATGTTTTTCTACATTTCATAAATGGAAAGCTTTAATCATAAATGAATTAAACAATGGTGAGGTCATCTTGCCCTCATCTTCCCAAAACCTAAATAACCATTTCCTGCTAAGATTTCTCAAAACTTGCTATAAAGTTTTCCCAAGCCTTCCCCTGACCTTCTAGAGCCAGGGAAACCCAACGGTACGGAATCCACCTCTCAACAGTATGTACCTTATAATGCTTAGATGCTGAGCAGTATGGTGTGGAGTTAGATGTTCCTCCTGATGAATCAAAGTTAAAAACAGTCTAGGAAACAGATGGGAAGGGAAAAAAATGAAATGCACCAGTGAGGTCGTGGGGATTTCAGCAAGACATGCAACACAACGCAATTGATCACATTTCCAAATGCCGTCACCACAGCAAAAGAAAAGATGTATGAAAAGAAGGTTTGTTCTACTGGCAGTGGTCCTGTTTCCATCTCATGATCTTCAATTCTACAAACAGGCTGAAAGCATACCAAGCAGAAACAGGACACAGACAGTACTTTTAACCAATTGCTTCTACAATTTTATGTCCATTTAGGGGCTTTTAATACATAACAGACAAATATAATTGCATTTAGTACAATTAGCAGAGACAAACATATCACAGATTTTAATGCTACCGAATCAACCTTCAGCATTCTTGGTTATTCTCTTTATACCTAATAAAAATATTGATCTTATGAGCATCAGTACTACTATTCTATCTAGTGAAACCTTGTCCTGAATTTTGATCTTAAATAATTAAAAATTGCTTATATATATATCTGTGCAGAAGAACAAAGGCAAAACATACATGAAGACACATCAAATGCTGAATGAAGGACAGAGCCTTTTTTAGTTGTGACATGCAGAGCGTAGACGTTCCAACTTTGCAAAGCCCGGGGGACATATTCCTTGTCAGAAAGCAAATGACATCTTGGAAATCTTTTTGTTTTGCCAAGCTTTTAAGGGTGCATGTATGGGAGGGGGTTGGCCCTTGGGGTAGAACTACACAAGAGTGGGCTCTGTTTTGTGCCTCTTTATTCATTTTACGGTTTTGATTAGATATAAACATTTTGATTATACTGGATATATGTTATTGTTTTGAATCGCTGAACCTAGCTGTAACAGAACAACAGAAATCTTCCTTGTCTAGTTGTAAGGGTTCTAGCTGATTAATTCTATATAGCTTTGTATGTGAGAAAGACATCTTAATGGCCATCTCCAATTGTTACCCGTAATGAAAATAATTTTAAAAGCTAAAACGTTAGTGCCTTTTGGAGTGATTCTTGCTTAAATTGTCAGAATGTTTCGGGGCTCAACTATGGCCACCAGGCGGTGTTTAGGCAGTCCCAGGAGGAGTCCCAGTCCCAGTCCAGACCTAAGAAACATGTTGGGACTCTGAATTCAAAGTACCTTCCCTCAGAAAAAAATGTGCTGGCTGGAGCTCCAAGGTCATAAGGATGCTCTTAGATGGAATTCAGTGGCCATTCCAAGGGGCCGGGAAGGGGGTGAGCCAGGCGTTGTAAGTATATTTCATATCCTGTCTGCACCACAGGCTATCTCACTCTCTGCAGCAGAAATATTAGATGGACAAGAAGTTTGCCGGATGGGAGGAGCTCAGGTACAGCGGTACCTTGACTCACAAACTCAATCCATTCCAGGACTCTGGTTGTGACCCAAATTGGTCGTGAGCCAAGTTAAATTTCCCCATAAGGTTCAATGTAAATAAGGTTAATCCGTTCTGTAACCATTTTTTAAATAAGAAAATGTGAAGCAAAGTGACAACAACAAAGATCGCGGCCATCTCCCCCCCCCACCCCAAACACAAGCACAGTCATCTCCCCGCCCCCCCAGCACGACCAAGATCGCGCCTGTCATCCCTGCACATGCCTGTCATCCCTGCAGGTGCCCGTCATCCCAGCACGCTGGGGGGTGGGGGGGAGACGGGCGTGATTGTGGGCACACTGGGGGAGGGAGACACAGGCGCAAACGGTGCGCTGGAGGTGGGGAGATGGCTGCGATCACAGTTCCACTCATGCAGGAAAGACAGGCGAAATCTCGGCCATCTCCCCCACGGCTCTGCTTTGCTGCTCCTGTCTTTCCTGCAGCAGCGCGCCTCTGATCACGAACGGAACTGCAATTAAGGCCATCTCCCCCCTCCCCCCCCCGAGTGGGGAGATGGCCATGATTCCAGTTGCTTTCATGCAGGGAAGGCGCTGCCGAGATTCCGCCTGTCTTTCCTGCAGGAGCACGCCTCTGATCCCACACGCTTTCCCTGCACGAACGGAACTGTAATCGTGGCCATCTCCCCACTCGGGGTGTAGGGGGGAGATGGCTGCGATCTTGGTCGCCACCCAAAGCAGTGTTTGCAACCCAAGTCAAAATTTTTCAGAAATTTTTGTTCATGACCCGATTTGTTCGTGAACCAAGGTGTCCGTGAGCTGAGGTACCACTGTACTTCCTTGCCTCCCTGCAGTCCTTCTGCCCTTCCACAAGTGATGTGCAATCCTCAAAGTTCAGAATGTTACAAGCAGCCTTGGATTCTACTGCTAATTGAGTCCTGCCCTGTAACCTACATTTTGCTCTCCTGCAAATGCCATAAACTGTGGCTGAGAAGGACAGCTCCTCCTGGTGGTGGCTAAAAAATAAGCCCTCAAAGCAAAAAGAAAAAAATCACAAATCTTCTTCTTGCATAGCAATTAACTTCAGTATCATTGCCAACTTTACAACAGTTGCTACAGTTTTCTTGCAGTTGGAGAACTGTTCAAGAGTTACTGCCAATACACTCTCTTTAGCAGTTTTATACGAAGTACTTTGAAGATAAGTAGAAAGGAAAAGAAAAATACTTTTTGTTAAATGTCTGGCTATGAAGGTGGTGCTGATGCAAGAAATTTGGACTCCAGCATCAGGGCAAAAGTTCCTGGAAACACTGCTGGCAAGGGATGCGCTGCATCTTATCTCAACTGGGGAGAGTTCGTTTGGCAACAGCATGGATCAACAGGAGTTTAAACTGAGTCCTACAGACAGTGAGAAGTAAGTTTGTGGGAAGCAACAGGCAAAGGATGATGCACATCAATGAAAAGAGCAGCTCTAATACCGCCCAAAATAGTCTTCCCGAAATGTACAATGAAAACTAGAAGCAGGTGGTCTTTGACATCAATATATGAATGCTCAGTATGGGAAGCGAACAGTACAAACTTGACTCTTAATGCAAGAGAGCAAACATAACTTGATAGGCATAACTGAGACGTGGGGGGACGACTCCCATGACTGGAGTTCAGCAAATGAAAGATATACCTTGTCCAAGAAGAACACACGGGGCGGAAAAGGTGGCAGAGACACATGCTAAATGTTAAAGAGATGCATCTCTGCACAGAAATACAGAAGGATGAGCTCCACCAAGAGTATCTGAATTAAGCAAATGGGACCAAGTACAACAGGAAGATGGTGCTCCAGGTTTACTACCAACCACCCAGTCACAGAGGAGATGAAACAAACTGCCAATGTTTCAAGGAGGCATAACGTAGTAGTAATGGGAGACAAACTCTGCAAGATGACCCTGCCACGAAATTCTTTGCCTGCGTTGGTGAAAATTTTGTTCTACAGAAGGTGGAAGAATGAACTGAAGGATCAGCTATCCTTGACTTGATTCCAACCAACAAGGAAGACCTACTAGATAAAGTGGGAGGTGGGGGGATATGTATTTCTTTACATGTAAAATCATTTCTTTACATGTAAAACACCTTCCCCAAAAGGTGTTTTACTACCTGTGAAAGCAGGCTTCTCCAATATATTTAGATTACAAACTTCTGGATAGCCTGAAGTACCCGGTCCTGCCTAATCTTGGAAGCTAAGCAAGGTCAGGCCTAGTTGAAATCTAGATGGATGACTTAATGTTGAGACCCGCCCCGAGAGCTCTGGCTACAGGAAGTACAAGAATGTAATTAATAACTTCCAGGGCTAGCTGTCACTAATTGGAGTCGAAATAAAAATATTAATTGAGTTAACACAGATTATGGCAACACTGAGTGAAATGAAGCCTATTATCAGTTAACCCTTGTACTAACATGTTATATTGTATTTGGAGTAAGTTTAGGAAGGAGTTAATTCTGGGCTCGTCTCCTGTCTGCAAATTATGATCAAGAGAGCAAGAACAAAGACCTATATACAAATATATTACTGTGGGCAGACAATGACTTTAGTGGCATTCAGAAAATTTGGCCGAAGGTGCACTGAAACATACAGTCACATCTGTCCTAAGAGGACAATATGCTGGAAGTTAATTCTTTACCATACAGATTGCAGAGTCTGATTCACCACCAGCATTCTGAGTGGTATTATTTTGCTTTTAAAATCTATTGCATTGCCAGAAATAAGAGATAATTACTCATCTGGCTGTGAGAATGCTTGTTAGCTATGACTGGGGGACATCGGATCTGCCATCAAGAATTTGGGATGTGATAAACGTTTTGGCAGAAAGTATACTTGATTAATTGATTAATATTGCATGTGGGCAGGGATGACAGATTGATTACAAGTGGAACAAAATCTATTATGCACTGGAATGGATGATACTTAGCCTCATGTTTAACCTGGAGTTATATATTCAATATACTGATTTGCATCTACCTCAGTCACATTATACTCAACAGACAAATGTACACTATTACAAATGCATCCACTGCAGCTCTTCCCAGCTTATTACTTTTTCTACTCTGTTTTTTCCCCTCTTGTAAGGAACCCAATGCAGCTTACGTAGTTCTCCTCCTTACATCAACAACAGTACAACATAGCTTAAGGTGAGAGTGAATGTCTGGCCCAAACTCACCCAGTGAACTTTGTGGCCAGGGTTAAGTCAGGTCTCCAGTCTCAAACTCTCACCATCATGCCACTGGCTCCCAGGTATCTTCCAGGTGTTCTGGACTACAACTCCCACAAGCCCATGCCAGCAAGGTCAATGGTCAGGAATACTGACAGATGCCTACATGAGGCATTGGAAATCTCGGCTCTAGTCATCACCTTTCCATGGTGATGCTCTAGGCAGTTGTGATGTCTGAAATCTGCTTTCCATGAATAGGCCCTAATCGCACAGGGGAGTAGGCAGTCGGCTTCTTCATCAGTTAGACCCACACTAGGGATGACATTCTATCTGGGCAAAATTCTAATTTTAACTTGTCAAAATATTGTGTGTGTGTATCTCCCCCCATCAAAGTACTTTCAGCCCTCAAAGTAGGTATAAAAAGGTAAAGGCTTCCCCTTGACATTAAGTCCAGTCATGCCTGACTCTAGGGGGCGGTGCTCATCTCCTTTTCCTAGCCGAGGGAGCCAGCGTTTGTCCGCAGACAGTCTCCGTGGTCATGGGGCCGGCATGGCTAAACACCGAGGTGCACGGAACGCTGTTACCTGCCCACCGAAGCGGCACCTTTCTATCTACTTGCATTTGCATGCTTTCGAACTGCAAGGTTGGCAGGAGCTGGGACGGAGCAGCGGGAGCTCACCCCATTGTGCAGATTCGAACCGGCAACCTTTCGGTCAACCAGCCCAGCAGCACAGCGGTTTAAACCACTGCACCACCTGCATCCCAATGAAGTAGGTATAGAAGCATCTCAATCTAAACAATAGAATTCTCAAGGTGACTTTTGTTAGGGTTTAGTTCTTTGTGTACAGAAGTTTAGCTTCTACCAGTCCAGCTTTGTCCCCATCCCCCACACAGTATTTGTGCGTTCCACTGTACCACAAATACAGACAATATAGTTTCTAACCTGAAAAATGCAAGCCACATTGTTGGAATTGTCACCTTACTGGACACAATACAATGAGCTTTAAAACCTCTGATCAAAGGCAGAGAACACACGAGGGTCAGTAAAAACAGTCTTCACTGTTGTCACATAAGGAAGAAATTCTTCCTCACACACACACACACACAACCACCAATCCTTTGTACAGCTTGATCTAGCCTATCACAACTTCATACCTGGGCAGAGTGAACATGGGGTGTGGAAGTATCTGCTTCTGACCACCTATTTTCCGCCAACTTGTCCTGTATTTACATAAACTGCATCATGATTTTGCAGAAGCTCATGACTTGACATATTGACATGGATTTCTTAATTCCTTTCCAGTAACACCCTTAAAGTATTTTGAAACTACAAACAAGGAAGCAATAATCCATTACCTGGATTATGTCTACCAATTTATGCAATCCAGCCGTGTTGACGAAAATCCCACTACCTGGAAGAGGATGGAGAAGAGCATTACGAAAGTTTTACAAATATTTATCTAATTTCTATACAGTCCAATAGTCAATGCTTTCTGGGTGGTGAATAAATACAATATAGAATGAAACGATGATAAATTGGAAAATTACATTTTTACAAGTAAATAGCAAAAACCAGTTCAGGCTGCTAGGCCTGCTACAAAACAGCTGGCAACAGTCCCCAAGTTGGCAACAGTCTGGAGTTGGTAAATGCGTCAGCAAAGGAGCGTTAATAACCTGATACCTACAGCTGCTGCCTGGTGAGCCGCGGTGAGGAAATTTTCCAGAATTTGGGTGCTACTACGGAAAAGGCTCTCCCACTTGCTGCCACCAGCCGAGCCTCCCTCAGAAATGGCATTCAGAAGAAAGCCTTAGATGCTCAACATAGCATCTAGGTATATTGTGGCTGGAAGAGGCACTCTGTCAGCTAATGTGGTCCCAATCCAGGTCGGGCATCACAACTGGGCTTGGAAACATACAGACAGCCAGTGCAAACAGGACAGGATTGGGATTACATGTTTGGATCATCTGTTCCCAGTTCGTAGTCCGGCTGCCACATTTTGCAGAAGCTGCAGCTTCTGAGCTGCCTTCAAGAGCAGCTTCATGTACAGTACATCACAGTAACCCAGTTTAGAGATGATCAGATTACTGAAGCCAGGCTATCCTTGTCCAGCCAGGGGCACAGCTGGGCCACCAGCCAACGCTGGCAGAAGGCGCTTTGTGCTGCTGAGGCCTCCTGAGCCGCAAAAGACGATGACAAATCAAGAAGCACCCCAAGCCACGAGCCTGCTCCTTTAGGGGGATTGCAACACCATCCAGAGCAGGTTGCATGCCCTTCATCGGGTCAGAGGAGCCACCCACCAACAGTAGCTCATTCTTGACGGGACTGAGTTTTAGTTTGTTAGCCCTCATCCAGTTCAGTTTTGCAGCCAGGCCTTGGTTTTGCACATCCAGAGCCTCACTTGCTGAAGAGGAAAAGGAGGAACAGGGCTGCATGTCATCAGCAAATGGATGGCAACACACTTCAAAATGCTGGGTGATCCCACTTCGCGCTTTCATTTAGATGTTGAACAGCATGGGAGCCCAGACCAACCCCTGAGGAGAAGGCACAGGGCCAAGCAATCAATATATAATATAAATATAAATAATTTGTTTGTTTGGGATTCTTGTATGCTGCCCCATTCACATAAGCCTCCCCCATGCATCGCCTTCTGGAGCTGACCTACAAGGAGTGGAATAATTGCAATGCGGTGTCCTCATGTCCAACTTGGATCGACACCCCAAAGGGACACCACGGTTAACAGGATCAAAAGTCACCGACGGCTCCAGGAGTATCAACAGGGCTGCACTGCCCGTGTTGCTCTCCTGGCGTAGGTCACTGTACAGGACAATGCAGCCATTTCAGTGTCAAAACCTGGCCTGAGCCCATCTCTACAGCATGGGCATACACAAGGCATGCCACATTTAATGCTATGTATTCTGTCATCCTCTCGGAGTATCAACAGTTTGAATTTGCCTGTGGCATCAAGACCATCACAAAATATGATGCCACAGAAAGTGCAAAATACCAATAAAGAGGGACCAGACAGTGACCCTGCTGCTAAGAGGACACAATGCACACTGCCCCCAAGTGGATGATGTGTGCTCCATCAGGCTGCAGACTTGGACGGCCTCCACTCCTTTGCAGCGCCGCACAGCTACTTTCTCCACATTAAGAAAGGCGAGGGACTCTCTGCTTTTCTCAGCATGCAGAAATACAAACAGGCAGGACGATGCCCTCAATGAGACGGCCTCACCCACTGAGGTCACTTGCCAGAGGAAGGCCCCATGCAGGAACTCTGCCCCTCCCACCTAAAGCTGGTTCCCCACTCCTGCTTTCCAGAACAAAAGGCCTCCCGGGAAGAACAGCACAGCAGGATGGAGCCCGGCCTGGCCCTGCACATCAGCCAGGGGTGAAGCTCATTTCGCCCCTCCTTGCCAGCAGCTCTGATCGACGGTTCTCTGGGATTGTAGCCTCTGCCTGGAGAACCAAGGAGCACTGGGAGCCACCCTCCCTTTCTTCCTTGGAGAAGCACCACAGCAGTGGGAAAGTCAACCGAGCCCGTGTATCAGCCAAAGGGGGAACAGTAAGGGGAGGGGGAGGTTACCGACCTTTCTTGCTAGAAAGAAAGCCTTTGAGAATATTGAAACTAAGGACAGGTGCTTCTTTCTTCCTCCTTCCCAATCCCTTTTCTATTTGTGGCATGCCTTTTATAGGGTAGGGGATATCTTATTGTTAATCTCTGCATTACTATTAATTTTATTATTAGTCTCAGGGAGCCTTCTTTGGCCAAAGAGTGAGATGAATATGCTACAAATAAAGAATCCCTGGCCATTACAGACAGCACACTATAATAATGTGATTTCTCATAATTCTGAACTAAACTATTTATGTTATACTGTAGCTTTACACTTTCTTATTTTATTTTATTGCATTTTGCAAATCAATTTTAATTGTGATCTACCCAGAGTACATGTATAGGGAGTACATTTACTACCTATAGGCTAGTATAGAAATATAACAAACTGTCTCGCAAAATACCATTCTCTCTCCGGAAACACTTCCTGCCCCCATTTTCTTATAGTCCGTAATGCATATACTTACGGACTGCCGCTAAATACTGCGTTATTTGTTCCAATGACTCAAGGAGACACCTCTGGGTTTGGAATGTGATCTGGGCACTTGCAAACAGCTCAAATATGTAGCTGTAAATTCAAGGAGACACATACGATTAAGAAAATATTACAACTTAGCGAAATGTCCTGGAAGCTGTCTCCCCTTCCTTGTGGGGGACAGACAACGCCTGGCTTCCCCCCCACAAGAGCCATTTTCCTTCAGCGAGTGGCGCACAGGGCAGTGCCCTCGAGTGGTGCCAAAGGGCACTGCCCGTTTGGTGCTGGTTTGATAAGGGTTCGGGTGCCAGGCCCTTTGGTGAGGGCGAGGATAATTATTATGGGAACTTGTTTTACTATTTATTTTAGGACTGTACTGCTTGTCTTGGTGTATTTTATTGCAAACTGCTCAGAGAGCCCTCTGGGCTATGAGGTGGTAAATCCATGGAATGAATGAATGAATGAATGAATGAATGAATGAATGAATGAATGAATGAATGCTCCAATGACATAACCTCATTATCTTTTCCAACCTCTCCCAGGCCAGTGATATCCAGCCTACACTTGCCCTCAGCATCAAAAATAAAAGGAAGTGGAAGCGATAGAAAGTTCCCTGCCCCCTCCACTCCTCATGTGAGCCACCTTGGGTTTCTTGCAACAGGGAGCAGTAATTATGCAATATTGCATTGTGATATAACATATTTAAATAATATAATAATATTGTATGTACAGAGAATCAGCCGAGTAACAAAGCTGCTTCCCAAGCCTTGAAGACTGATGATCTTTAAGTCTGCATAAACATGTGGACTAGAAACTTACAAAAGAGTAACAGCTCTGGTTTTGAAAATATTATGTACAGTAGTTTGGTAAAAGCCAAGCGATTAGTTTTAATTTTGGATTCCAGCATCCAACCCTTCCCTGAATGGTAGACATGGTCCCAAGAAACAGTGTGATAAAGCAGGCGAAGCTTCATTCGTTTACTACACTGAAATCCCACCCTTGTTCCAAGGAACACAAGGTCACAGAGACAGCTCTCCTCCCGCCCACCCACACAACCACCTTCAGGAAAAGGTTGGGTCGAGATGTTGGCCAGGCCTGTACGATGTGTCGCATGTCGCTCATGGGGCACCTCATTTCCATAATTACTCGAGCTGCGTGTGGGTTGCGGTGTTGTCCAAACCAAAAAAAAAAAGGTTTCCAAAACACCCTGGGACCTGAGAACAAGCCATGGGGTGAGGGCTATTTTTTAAGCCACCCAGTTCATCAGGTTCAGGCAACATGGCAACCTACTCAGTGATGGAAATGGGGTGGCAAAGAGCTGGACCCTGCGGGGTGGGAAGAAGCCACCGCCCAGCTTCTTTTCCTCCCCCAGTCATACAAGCCCGGCCAGGGGCACTGGGCCAAGGCCGTTCCAGTCCTGCCCTTCCAAGTCTGCCTCGCTGCATGAAGCAGCAGCTTCTTTGCAATGGGCACAACTAAATTGTGTTTCTCAAGGACACAACTGCGCACCAAAGAATTCTGCACACAGCACAGCAGAAGGAGAGCAGCAAAGCGATCCAACGAGGCTTTATGCCTGCAACTCCTGGAACATACCTTCCATCCTTAGTGAGGCCACTGCCGCCTGCTGGTAGCTCTATGGCATCGATAGTGTTTTCCAGCTGAAGAAGAATCTCTTTAAGAAAAACAAAGGAGTAGGAGAAGGGGGAAATAGTGTGCCTTTCAGTGGAGGGTCACTGGTTTTGAAATCGCTGCAGCACAGGTCATCTCAGAACGCCCTCTCAGCAGGAACAGGGCTTGTTCTAAGCCGAGCCTGGAGACAGAGGGGGGAAGCTGCCTGGATGTATTCACACAGCAGGCCACCTTGGGGTCCTCCTTGTTGAAAAACATGTACGTTTTGAAAATAATGGAATAAAATACAGGTGACATCCCTCAACAAAGCCTTCAACTGGGCAAAGCAGCAGTGTGGAGGAGTGGAAAACATGCTGCTGTTTCTGCACAGCTCACAGGCTCGTCGACCCCTTGGAAAGTCCCCCGCCAATCCTTAGCATAAAAGGCTGCAGGATATGAGTTTCTAGTTCTCACAGTTGGAGAGGCTATTAACTTAATTAAAACATTCAAAAGGGGAAGGGCTGTTCGGAAGCAAGTAACCTGAAATCCAAATGCCATACAGGGGCCAATTCATGAAGTACCATGTGAAGGACCTAGGATGGTGCAAATTTTCTGGTCTTGTGGGCAGCGTTTTTAATAAGAATGCTACATGCTAAATAGAATCAAGTCAACCAATGGTTTGCCATCTGCCAAGATTATACCAATGATATGCAAATTATATTATTTACAGGCAATTAAAATATGCAAATACACTGTAGCTCTCCAGCTCAAGATGCATAAATAGGAAACATTCTTGGTATTCAACACATTGCCAGCAAATTAGCTATTATTTCTCATCCCTGTGGATGTTCTGCTCAGTTGAAGTGCTTAGGAATACACTTCTGCAAGGCTGCCGTGCAGTTTTGTTCTTTGGCTGATACTCAAGGCATTCTGGTTTTCAGGTTCTGTATATGCTGACAGTTTGTTTACTGCAGCAAAGCAGGACAAACAAGAAGTCAGTCGGTGGATGAAACACAAAATCTGGAGCTTCTATTCATAAGAACAAGTCTTCAGCTATACAGTTCACTTGGCTAAATTGAGAGTGTCTAATTTCCAAACCATTATTAAAAAGGGCAGACTTCATCTATGGAAAAAACCTGAACTTAGTAATGGTACTTACGCTTTATCTTTGCTATTTCTTCAAGCTCCATGTTTAGTCCTGTTGGAGAAAGAAACTAAATCCTTATGCATTCTAGTCTGCAGCAAGTCCCATCAATGCCTCCTTGCCCACCCCGTCCCCCAGCACAGAGGGGATGATGGATATCCAAGTTCAATACATGTGCAACGTTTGCAAAAAACTTCTTGGAGCTTTTCCCAGATCTTAACGGCAGGGAGGGACGGAGGAGGAGGCAGAGTGACCTGCAATGATTTGGGGCAGTGACCTTGCTCAGCTCATCTGCACATTCATCTGAAGAAAGGGAAGCAGACGGCAGAGCTCCACCTGGACTATACAGCTCTTGAACACCGGAATGCTGTTGGCTCATTCTCAGACTTCAGCTTGGAGGTAAGCAATAATATTTAAGCTATGGTTGCAAGTCATTCCCAGACCACAGCAGAGGAGCAGCTGAGACAGAGCCGTAGAACAGAATAAGCCAGTGGCCATTCTGTGCCTGGCTCAGGCTACCACTACCTGGTGGGTGTGCAGCTCAGACACAACAAGCCTTCAATGTTATTTTAATATGGGTTTCTTGTGTTATCATTTTCACTTGAAATGTTTATTAATCCATTTTTAAAACAAAATAAACAGTAGTGCCCTTGCATTATTTCATACGCATGGATCATTATCCATGAAGTAGAAACAGCGCATAGGGAGAGGTTTCTCTCCCTCTCTCTAGTCAAACTGTCATCTAGTTATTTTGACGGGCTGTAGATTTCTGGACAGACAAAAGGAGGTTGTTCTTCCTGCAATGCATAGTCGAAGTACAGAACTTGCTGTCACAGGATGTGGCAAGGCCCTTGCCTGAATGCTTGGACTAGACTTCCCCAACCTTGTGCCTTCCGGACATTTTTGGACTGCAACACCCAGAATTTCCAGTCAATGGCCTTGCTGGATGGGAATTCTGGGAGTTGTGGTGCACATGCCTCTGAAGGTCACCAGGATGGGGAAGGCTACCTTAGATAATATTAAGTGGGAAGACTGCTCTATCTATGGTCAATAGCCATGATGGCGATGGAGTTTCTGCATAACCATCCTGGCTACTGACCAGCTCCTGGGAAACAACACCAAGGGAAGGCTGTTTTCAGGCCCTGCACATGGGCTTCCCAAGGCATATAGTTGGCCACTGTAGGAAACAGGATCCTGGACGGTTCATCTGACATGACAGGGTGTGAACAAGAGAAGAATTCCACTTCCTTCAGACGCTTGTCCTTTCCTTCCCAGCAACTCACAGCTTTTGCAGTCTGCCTGGGTGGATTAAAATGCTAATAATGTAAAGAAATAAATACATATGGCACAGCACCTCCGGGACCCAATCGTGCAAGCAAAGGGATTCCCTGCCTTGTTCACAGCTGATCTCTTCCTTTCTCTATTGCCTCTGCAGCAACCAGGAAGGTCTGCACAATCGACAGGAAGCTCCCTCTGCCCGAATGTTCATATGCTCAAATTTGTTCCGTGCTCCAGGAATAATTTCTGGTGCAGCCCTTTGGGTGGCATACAGCTCATATAGACTTCCCTGTTTTTACTGGACAGCTGGGAAGCAGTCCCTGGTCCCTCCCTGAAAGGAAGCAGCAGGGAAAATGGGCAAGCCTCTAGCTCCCCAGCTTTCAAGAGTGGGGCGATGGGATTGGAAGCAGCAGAGGAAAAATCCACCTTGCTCAGGCGCGGTCTCTCCCTTTTTGATGTACAGGTGTATTTGGAGGTGTGTGTGCTTGAGGGAGAAAACAGGACAGAAAGGAAAAAATAATAACCATTCTGCTCTTCTTTTCCTTCCAATATCTCCTCTTAATTCCTTCTTTAACATTTCCAACCTAAAATTCAAAAATCCAAATCACAAAAACCAGCATTAGGTGTGCAATGAAGAAGCTGCTTTTGGGTGCCATCACATATGTTGGCTTTTCCTTAGTTTTACCGGACTATGCTGAGAAATTCCGCAGCAGAAGCTTCACTGGCATTAACGCAAACTGCACACCCACCGTTCCACTTTATTATACAAGCTCCTTTCCCTCCACACCAGGTGCACAGGGGATGTGTCAGAAGGATTCGGCCCAGTACTCCTGATTTATGGATGGCCTAGTAAGCACGGTGGCTGCATAATTTCCCGAAACCCTCAGTGCATTCTAGACATTGCTGCTGGATTAAGACTTCACCTGAGTTGCTGGGATCCATACTGAATTCAGGGTTGATTTCATTCCGCTGAACTTGTTGGGCTTGTTCTTCCAACACCATGTTAATGGCATCTATAGATGAAGCAATGTCATAGGGAGTCAAGTCAAACGATGCCAGGTCCTCACACAGCCTCTCCTGAAGATGAAGGTGAAGGTGAAATGTGATACTGAGATTTTAGAATATTAACAACACCCACTGTACACGCTCTTTGTACCTGTGTGGCTGGACAGATCCTGCGCTGGAAAACGGGGCAGTTCGATGAACAAATTGAGCAAGTAGCCCCTTTTCACAACAGGAATCCTGCCATTGTAGGACCTCTCCAAGCTACTGACTGTGTTTGCGTGACATGACAACCCACTGACAACCCTGAAGGGGACAAGCCATGATGGGCCGTCCTGCTGCAAACCTGAACTGCATCCCATACTGTGCCTGGGAGCAACAGGCCACCTTGGCAACCCTCCTTGGGGGTGTCATGCTGACCAGGCCTGGGTGCCCCAGCCCACTGTGGGTGCATGAGGCAGTGCGTGAGCCGCGAATTCTCCTCAGCGCCCTCGCCAGCTTACCCAGGGCACCAGCAACCAACCCACTGATGCTCAAGCACACAGCAAACAGCCATCGCCAGCCCGGCGCTCCCCTTGCTGGCTGCAGGCCCTGCTGCGCTTGCCAGAGTGCTGCTTTCCAGGGAGACGGCTTCCTAAGCTGGCCTCGTGAGTGTGTGGAGATGTGTCCTTGTGTGGGGCCAAAACGAGAAGCCTCGCCTAGTTAATGCCCTAGGAGGCAGCCGCCTTGACCACGGGCAGTGCCCAGACAGGTATTTTTTACTTGACCTCCCCCTGGCAGTTGCCAAAAGGTGACCTTTGCTTGAGAAAGGGGACAGCCAGTAGATCATCTCCTTCCTGGGGAGATCCTCCATTTTCTTTGTTTGGATTTGACTCTTCTTATGAACTTTCATTTTCTCCATCTTTTCCTGAGACCTCGGGAAGGTGGAAAAGCGCTCGCGCTCGCTCTCTCTCTCAAAGCTCAAGCTTCCCTTTAAAACAGGGCCTTTGCCACGGCTGATCATTGTTGTTGTTCCTGTCATCTGACAGAGACATTTCCCTATCAAAACCCTTGATTAGCCCTGTCAGAACCCCATTTTAAGCCCGAGTTTGACTGCTAGGCCTCAAAACTCTGTGCACTCATAAAAGGGCTCATGCTTTTCCACTTACGAAGCATCTGGAGCCTTGGGAAAGGGTGGGAAGGATTCAGGGCACACTGAAGAGACTGTCAACTCAGCGACAACAAAAAGCGTCCTCATCCCTCCAAAAAAGGTGGGGGGCGGGTGAGGAAGAGGAGACAAAAGCTACAGCAAGCAAGAAGTTGCCTGCAGTCGGCAAGGGGAGAGGAGAGGAGACAGGTCCTGCCATACAGCTCCATAAGACACCCATGGGAGGAGTGAAGGGAAAGGAGGAAGACAACCCATGGTGAGCCCAGTCATCTGTCCAGTATGCTGTGGGAAGGTAGGTTCATGAACAACCCCATCCTGTGCAGCTTATTCAAAGAGTAGGATGCTGCGTCATGTGAACCTACATTTTCCATTCTGATTACTAAAGACAGATGCTGGCATTTCAGCTGGGAGATTTTCACCAACCTTCATCTATTGCTCAAGGTAGGACCCTAATTTCACCCTGGACACCTCACTCCTTCAACATGGGGCAGAAACAGGAGCTTTCAATTTCAGTGTGTGCTTGGAAGTTCCCCATGGGCCCAAGGCCACTTTGCTACGGATCACTCTCAAGAACCATACGCAGAAGGCAATCAGGGATATTGTCTCACTGGTGGTGAAGCCCTTATGCCTCAAGGGAGCGAGGCGCAGCACTCTGCACCAGCAGGGGCTCTCCTGTATGCTACTGTAACTCCTGTGCTTGCACATGGCCCATGCAAAGGGCCATTCTATAGATCAGAGCATACACATTTCAAGAGCTTCCCACTTCTTTTTCTCCTATCACAAAGGATTTTCAGCCAGTCATAAAGCAGATCTTGTAATATTATTTATTTATATAACAATTTATATTGTTATTTCTTGTATTTTAATTTTATGTTGTGAGCCGCCCCGAGGCTTCTGCGAATGGGGCGGCATAGAAATGTTTTAATAAATAAATAAATAAAAATATGGCAGCTACAGCAACCAACTTGGAAGCAAGCCAAGTTCACTGGAAAAAAACCCAGATGGCGCTTCAAAGTTCCTACACAAAAAGGCTGCCCGGCTGCCCCCTGCCATCTCTCCCCTTATAGCTGAATTTCTGCATTCCCTTCCATGGCCAGTAGCAAGATCTGAAAAATGCAGCATGTCACGGTTGACCTGGAGAGATGGGATAGATGGTGCACCGGCATCTGTGCGATACCTGACTTCCCTCTGCAGTAAGAAAGTACCCACAGGAAGACCAATACGCTGCAGTGCTGAAAAGGCAAAGCCACCTTTAACGTCAAGCAAGCTCCTTCATGGATATGCATCCCGGACATGTCAACACTGACAGGAACAGCAGTGCAAAGTACACACAGCAAATAAGAAATAAAAGCAACTTTATCTGTGGAAAGGGCCACCTTCCCCACCACAGTATCCTCCTTAGGTCTCCCTCCCTCCCTTGCTTGCATAGCTAGATACTCTGTGAAAGAGAAGCAATACTTCCACTATTTAACTCAGTGACTCTGTCTAAAGACTATCATTTGCTTACTCAAATCTTCTTGGAAGAACAAATATTCACCCAATACTGGAGCTCCTGTGTGGCAGATGGCCAAAGGCTCGCCACCCAAGTTTACTTACCACGTTGTGAGCTTCATCAAGTATGACCACAGTCTCCTTCAAGTCCAGGTTGTGTGCTCTTCGACTCTGTTAAGAACAAAAAGTGAGAGGCAGCCTGGCAGGGACACCCCACTCGCAACTATTGACCCCCCACCTGGCCCCCATTTAGAGGGATGCCATTCACATGCAGGATACCCCTCTGCAGGCTCTCAGCCCAGGCCAAAAGGACAGGCCTCCCTCTCATTCAGAAGGCTGCCAACCCTACACTTCTGAAGCTCTGATTTCCCCATTCCACGAGCAACTCAACTATCTTTGCTATATCTGGTGCAGCAAAGTGGTCCTATGCCCACTCGTTGTATAGCAAGTTATACAGAATTTTAACAAGCAGAGCTTCCAAGATGGAAGAAACTGCAGCTGCCAAAGCTCTTGTCTGTGTAGTCCGAAGGGAAAGCACAAGGAACAAAAGAATATGCAGTCTATTTTGAAGGATGAAAAAAGTGAGAAATGCTGCATGCAGTCTTCCATATCAGCTGAGAAAAGACAATTTTGCCAGCCTAGCAGGTGAATGCTCTTTAAAAATCCGGCTTTCTACAGGAATACAAATGAAGGCAACACATAATGCATTAGAATACAAAAAACATTTCCCATCCCCAGACAAAAAAGGTTAGTGTAGAAATTACTGCCCCAGCTCACAAAATTGCATGTATGTCTTCTTTTTGCCTCATATGATGAGCATTTACATTAATAACATATTCTGTAATGCATTAATAAATTTCATCTTCTATAGGCATATGCAGTAACATCCTTTAAAAATATTTGGTGAAACAGATATATTTTCTTTAAAATGCACAGCATACCTTTGAGTCCAGTAAATAGTTATAAGGCATAAAAATGATGTCTGCCTGTTGCTTCAGATTCCGGGAAAGGTAATAGGGGCAAACTCTGTATAAAGAGAAAGGAGAAAGAATTTCAGGATGGCCACAAGAAGACTAGCGTGCTTTCCACAGTCATTAATTACGACTCTCAAGGGTTTCTTGTCAGCTTCTTAATGGGCCAATCTGGCCCATCAGATCTTAAAGGCAGATGGTCTGCTATGTTTACACGCGTTCTTCATCTCTCGTTTCATAAAAGAGAACGCAAAGAATAACTCCTTAAACATGCAAGTGCAGCAATGAGAGAGAAAAGCTGGAGGGGAGAAAAGCTAGTAGGCTTCAGATTTGAGGGACGCAGCATTTCTGTCAACACAGACCAAGGCAAGACCCAAGAAAATAAACCTTGAGAGGGAGAGGGTGGTAAAGGGAAGGGAGGATCTTTCTAAAGCCCCTCCCAAAGGATGGTGGTGGGGAACCATGCTCGTCACGCAACAGTCTTCCAATCTGTTTTACTGCCCACTAGACAAACAGCTGTTGGCATTACCTTGCATCTGCTTACACTGAACTACATTTACCATTTTGATGCACTTTCTCCCACCCTGCAGAGATTCCTTTGGAGCGCCTCACAATCCCTTTGGGTTTTAACCATGCTAAATAGTTCAGTGCCACCAGCAAATCTGGCTGTTTCATTGCCTGCTCCCAATTCCAGATGATTTATGAATACGTGGAAAAGCACTGGTCCCAATATAAACACCATGGGACCCCACTGTCAATAACGGAAGGACTACCATTTATTCTCACTCTGTTTTCTGTTTTTGAGCCAGCGACTGATCCTTAAGAGGAGCCAAACCTTTGATCCATGGCAGCTGAGTTTGCTCAGAAGCCTTTGGTGAGGGACTTTGCCAAAGTCCAACTAACATCCATAGGACTGCCTTATGTGCTTATTGACACTTTCAAAGAATTCCATTAGGTAAGAGAGGCAAGACTTTCTTTTGTAGAAACCAGGTTGATTTTTTTCAGCAGAGCTTGTCCTTCAACCTGTCCACCGATTCTCCCTTTAATAAGGCTTTCAACCAATTTACCCAGAATGGACATTAAGTCAACCAGCCTGTAATTTCCTGTATCCCCCTTGGATCCCTTTTTAATGCTTGATGTTACACTGGTCATTCTCCAATCCTCCCATGCAGAGGCTGATGTTGGGGAAATTGTTTTTTTAAAGATCAGCAATTTCATATTTGAGCTCTTTGAGAACTCTAGGATGGATACCATCTGGGCTGGAGATTTAACTTTTGGTTAGTAAGGCTGAGAAATTCATCTTTTGTCAGTACTATCTGCCTTAATTCCTCAGGCTCCAGTTCAGGAACAAATAGGTGTTCTGTCATGAAGACAGAAGTAAAAAAAAAAAAAAAAACCAAAACCATTCAGCTCCTCTGCAATCTCCTTATGCTCCTTTAGTGCTCCTTTATCATCCAATGGTCCAGCTGCTTCTGGCACTTCATTCTTTCCAACTGGTTATCATGTCTCACCATAGGCTTGTAGCTTATTTCCTTCCAGACATGGAAGTTGCACAGCATCAAATGTCTGATGAGTCCTAGGTTCTCCTAGTCATTTTTGAAAAGCAAGTACCAGTACCAACATTAACAGGGTCAAATTTTAGTGACTCCATCCATGATATTAGAGTGTAGGATACAGAATAATCCATTCAAGTTGCGACAACCCAGATTCAGGCTGGACATCAGGAAAAGCTTCCTCACGGTCAGAGAAATGCGACAGTGGAACCAGCTGCCCAGAGAGGTGGTGGGCTCTCCCACACTAGAGGCATTCAGAAAGAAACTGGACAGCCCTCCGAGTGGGATGGTGCAACGTGGTGTCCTGCAACAGCAGGGGCTTGGACTTGATGGCCTTCTTGGCCTCTTCCAACTCTACCGTTCTATGACTCAATGTCTTTAAGCCATCACTGAGCAGCAGCATTTGATCTCTGCTGCAGCCATACTTCTGCTTCCAAACTATCTGAGAAGGTCCAAAACAGGAGCAGCACAGTGGTAAATGTTCTGACTTTATCAAATATCACTTGGCATTGCTGCGAGAGACCTGCTCTTGGTTTTACTCAGCGCTTTACAACTGATTTATACCTGCATGGACTGGCACACAGGTGCATGCAGCCAAGAAAGGATAATGCTGAGAAGCAACTACTCCCTCCTGGAGAGCAGGGTTTTGCTCACGGCTCTGGGATTCAGCAGCAAGTGGAGACCCTACAATGTGTTCAAGGGCAGATGAGGGGGCAGAGGCTGAGAAGGACCCTGGGAGGAAAGTACAGAAGTACAGGAAGTGGGAGGGGCTGTTGAGACTGAGGAATCTTCAAAGAGATCCACCACTCCCATCTGAGTCAGTCCCTGTGGGTAGGTGGCAACATCAGAGAGAAGCACAATTGGTTGAGAGGCGTGTGGATAAAAGGTGCACATACTTTCACGGCACACCTCTGCGAGGGTTCGGTCACAAGTGGGTTCATAAGGAGAGTTTTGGGAAAAAAGTGCTAGGTCGGGCTCGACACACCACTTGCGTGTTGCGAGGCTTGACTGGATAATTTACATGCCGAAACAGTAAGGAGAGCTATCTCGAGGCTGGAGATAGTTGGAGGGAGAAACATGGCTTGTGACAGGTGGTTCATCGCCAAAAAGGGTGGTGCTACTTTTGAATTCGAAGAAAGCTCTATGCAAAACTGACTCCTTTCCCCATTAACTCGCTGAGGTATGGCTCCAACAGAGCAAGAGGGAACACAAGTAATGACAACCTGTGCTTGTTTCCATTTTTCACAAGATCTTCAATATCCATTATGGGGTTGATCAGGTCTTTCTCAGTGCTCTTCTCTGCATGAAAAAAAAGGGGGAGAGCAGTTACAGTATACCAAGCAATCCACCTAGATTAGCCCCTGTCACTGAGACTTATCTAAACTGCTGGTTTTGAATCTAAAGTTAATCTGCACTAGGTCTTCAATCTGCATCGATTCTCAAAGAGGAGCATTTCTGCAGATGGTGACTTGCAACCAATTGGGCAATGCACCAACAGAAATCAGATTTCAGGACAGATGTGCTCTGCAAGTGTCAACAGACCACATAAACATCTGGTGCTCTGAATTCAAGTAAGCTGAACAAACTCAGCTCCATTGAGTGACAGATCAACAGGGTGTCCACCTGCATTAAAAATACAAAACAGGCTTGATTTAATTCAAAGGTTAAAAAGTAAAAGGAATTCTGGGATAGGCTATGGTGAATAGGCTATGGTGGCACAATATAAGAATATCAAGAGTTCTCACATACTTCATTACTGCAGTCTAGGGTTTACTGAGGTAACAGCACAGGACTCCTCAGACAGGGTGGAACAGTTCTTACAGATTACATATGACATGCATGTTCTGAATACTCTAAAGTGCTATTTAGTGGCCAATAATAATAATAATAATAATAATTATTATTATTATTATTATTATTGCTATTATTAAATACTACTTGTTTGCGCTGACTACATGCATCAGGAACTGAGATAAGTCCAGGAAATATCATGGTCTCTGATCTTTATTTTTTTTTCAAAGCATTTCTGTGTCCTCCGTGGCTATCTTTCCAACTCTTGAAATCTTTTGTCATATGACCAATATCCTGCCTTTCCAAGAAAAATGAAATATTCCCATTCTTTAAGCTTTCTCTTGTATCCACACCCCAAAGTATTAAAAAATGGAATGGATAACCAAAGATGTGCAGACTATGGCTGACCTTTCTGGCCACTAAAATGTGTGGTTCCTACAACCCTGTCCCTCCCTCATGTAAGGGCCTCATTTCTCACAACAGGATAAGCTTTTTTGGGGGGGGGGGGGGTTGGGTCGGAAAATTCCCTTCCCCCGGTTCCCCAACTGGGGGGGGGGGGGGGGGGACGGAGGGCCTCACCATGATGTAAAGTTATGAAAATCCCATAGATGATAACATTTTCTTATTTTATCACCCCAAATCTTGAGGGATGAGCAAGGTGGGAAATTGGGACCCTGCCCAAGGTCTTAAAAGAGAGCTTCACACTAAGGAGGGTCACTCACATCTAAACCCAAAACATGTAGAGAATGCTTCATCTGACATGTATATGTTTTGTGAAATTCACTGAAAGCACAAACCATCAATTTTAGGTTTGTCCTCCATGTAATGTTTACATACTAGCAGGTGAGGGGCAAGTGGCAATATACCCTACCAGCTACTGAGGCTTGTCATGAAGGTCAAACCCATTTCTGCGATAACCCAATCGTTGCCTGAAGTAGCGCAAATATAATATTGCTCCTTACCCATCTACAGTCAAATACCAGCAATAAAAAGGTTACTTATTATTAACTTTTAGACATAGATATAATTAGGTAATTAAATCTTCTATTACTACCCTTCACTATTGCCTCAGAGCTACAATGAGTAGAGTTCTACTGAATTCCACAAAAGGATTCTTCTTGAAGCGAGAACAGCTTGTTAAAAGCTGGCATTTACATACTTAAAGTGGACACACACATACACACAAACAGCTCTGCTGCTAGGCAACTTCACCTCATTTCTGCACAGGTCACATTTAAAATTAATGGAGGTTGTGCCACAACGGTACTTGGTGGCCCATTCCTTCAGTCTTTAACTTACACCATTAAATGAACCCAGGACCTGCTATTTCCACATTCTAGGAAATGTTCCAAGAAAATGCGAGCATTACTTAATTTAGCTGCTCACTGTACTCTTGTAAGACACTACAATATGTGAGGATGCCATGTGGTGCAAGCTACACTTTTTTATACATATATTCTAGGCGCTTCCAGATGGAAGACTCCTAACACTTGCAGTTAGAAAGCACTGAGGGACTGTTTTGCCTTTTATTTTGTAGCATATTTTCTGTTGTAAGAGACAAAAGCAGGAAGCAATAAAGAAATACAGGAGGGCCACAAGAAGATGATGAGAACGCCTGAATGAAGCAGGATGCTGGCATTCTAAAAGACATAGCCTGGATATACTGTAGCCAGATTGTATTGGTTGATGCCATTTTCGGCAGCTCAAAATCCTGAGATCTTATTCAAATAGGGAAAAAGGCAAAAGCTTTCTAAAAGCTAGAACAGGAGTTAGAACATGTAGTCTTCCCGATGTTTTTGGGCTCCCACTTCTACCAGCTTTAGCCTGTATAACCAATAGTGAAAATGACGGGAACTGGAGGATCACATGTGGAACACCTAACACTCTGGAAGACAAAAAGAAGATCCAGGGGGACTTAGACAAGCTTGAACACTGGGCAGAAAACAACAGGATGAAATTCAACAGGGGAAAATGCCAAGTTCTCCACCAAAGACAAAAAAAAAATCAGCCGCATCAATACAAGATGGAGAATATTTGGCTCAGCAGCACTGAGAATGAAAGCTGTTGCAAGCTAAGTATGGGCCAGCAAAGCGATGCAGCTGCAAAAAAGAGAAACACTGTTTTGGGATGCATAAAAAGAGGTATCACTTCCAGAAGAAGAGAAATACACATTCCTCTCTCCTCTGCTTTAGTTAGACCTCACCTGGAATACAGCATTCATTTTGGGCATCCACATTTAGAAAGGATGCTGAAAATCTGGGAAAGGTTCAGAGGAGGGCAACAAAGATGATACACAGCCTGGAAAATAAGTCTTATGATGAGAGGCTTAAAGAACTGGGCCCGTTCAGCCTTGAGAAGATCCTGAAGTGACATAGAAACAGAGCAAGCCAGAAGGGGTCTCCCGGGCCATCTAGTCTGACCCCCGGCTCCAGCCGGCTCCGCTCACGACATGCCCACCATGATAGTGACACGATAACGCTCTACAGGAACCTCCAAGGCTGTCAACAGAGGAGGAGGAGAAGACTTCTCACTTATCCCAGACTGTAGGACACAGAACAATGAACTTAAACAACAGCACACCTGGTGCAGACTAGACACATGGAAGAATTTCTTAACTGTAATAGCAGTATGACAGGGGAACCAGTTGCCAAGAAAGGTGATGTGTTCTTCCACACTAGAGGCATTCAAGAAGAAAATAGGAGAGTTATCCGAGTGGGATGGTGTTAACTTCCAGCAGGCGGCTGGACTTGATGGCCTTCTTGGCCCCTTCCAACTCTACTATTCTATGATTCTATGTTCTCTACCCTGATCTCGAATTACAACACTGACTCTCAACAGCATTAACAAAGGAATGCTTCTGGAGAAACTGACACGCTGAATGCAAATCTGCTTAATACAACAGATTTTCTGACAGGAGCATGTAAGAATAATGGTGCCTCAAAATGAAGGATGTTACCTTGCTGAGGTTTTGGAGTACTTCCTCATGAATGAGTGACTGTTTGAAAACATAGAAAACTTGTAACAAATCAGACCACTGGTCCATCTAGCACAACATCGCCTGCACTGACTGGCAGTGGCTCTCCAGGATTCTAGACAAGAAGCTTTTGCAGCCCTACCTGGGGATGCCTGGGAAGAAAGAGGGCACTTAGTCAAGTGCCTTCTGCATCCTATATTTTGGCCGCACCGTGTCAACTGAATATCACTTCAGACACTGCAATTATAATCTAGTTTAACCCTAAGCCTATTCTAGACCAACACTCAACAAGAAAGACGCACCTAAGTCAGGCTTCTTTAACCCCAGGACGGAATTAAACCTTCTCTCATTTTGAGGAAAAGCCTGAGCTGTATCAAGAAGTTTGGTTCTACTGTTTTGTTCATTGTCGACATTCATGCTCTAACATTTCATTTATGATTTTAGGAATTGCTCTGTATTTCTTTAACATTTGTCAGCCACCTAGTTTGGGTTTTCAGCCAGCTGTTACACAATCTAAATAAATTTTTAAGATTGCTTTGACTGACTCTTGTCCTCTCTTTGCAGGTTGCCATATCTTTGTCTCTGATATTCATTCTAGACTTCAACTGACCTGAATTTAGGACATAAATTATTAAATACACTTCAGGAACCTCTTGGTACCACCAATCTGAGTGAATGCCTTTCCCACACCCCTCAATCCATCTAAATGGACAAAAAGAATGGAACAGCATGAAAAATGAACCTGTTCCGAATAGGACACGCGTGATGGTCTAAACAGAACAGCACTGACATGCCAGGAAAATTCTGCTCAACACTCTTCTGTGGACAAATCTGACATTTCCATACCCACCAATTTATAGTGTGAATCTGCAAATGTCTTCCTGAAAATTGGGCTACATAAATGCAAATTGCTGAAGAGGCATCAAAGCCCTGTGAAGCAACCGTATGGTGCCTCCAACAATTAGCCCCTGCAAGCAAACCCTGAGGAAAAAGGTGCATGTAGGTGGCCAGCAGGAAATCTGGTATGAATGCTGTGCAGCGTTATCAGCAGTTATTTATTTATTTATTTGGAATTTTTGTATGCCGTCCCATTCGCATAAGCCTCGGGACGGCTTCCAACATAATTAATAAACAATCATATAAAAAGATACATATAAAATCTGGAACACCCTGGCTATAAAACTTTAAAACCAATAAATAATATTAACAATTATTAAAATATTGTTTAAATAAAAAGGTCTTGGCCTGGCGCTGAAAAACAAATACCGACGGTGCCAGGCAGACCTCTCTGGGGAGCGCATTCCATAAGTGGGGCACCTCCGCAGAAAAAGCCCTCCTCTGGGTACTCACCCTCCTAATATCTTTCACAGAGGGTTCCCGGAGGAGGGCCTCTGCCGCCGATCTCAAGGGGCGGGAGGGCAGATATGGACGCAGGCGTTCCTTTAGATACCCAAACTACTATCACAAACATTTATTCATACCTTCCACATTGTTATAGAAATGGCACATGCGATTTGATACCTTCATTCGACACATGTGGATCTGTAAGGCAATGTAAAATCACAGCATAATCAAGCCAAAATGTGTTTGTAATTATACTTGCTGAAATTGTGTATATTATTATTATGTCTTCATTTCTATATTGCTCCACAGCCAAAGCTCTCTAGGCAGTTTACAAGTATCAATAAAAGTAGGCAATATAAATACAATAAAATTATCATTGAAAAAAAGCATTTAAAATGGTAAAAACACCTAGGACAGAAACATTCTTTTAAAATTCTGCAAAAACCCTTCTCAGGCCCGTGGGGGGCCAAAGAGATTTTTAAAGGCCTCAGAAAAGAGGGCCGTCTTAATGTGGCGCCGATAAGAAGACAACCTTGGTGCCAGTGGGTGGTTGTTGTATTAATAGGGGGCCACCACAAAAAATCCCCCCTCGCCGTTGCCACTCTCTTCACTACCCTTGGAGTTGGCATTTGAGGAAGGTTCCAGAAGTCAAACAAAGCATCCAAATAGCTTGTGACCAGGAGAGGCACTCCGACAGGTATCGCAGTCCGAAGCTGCGTAAGGCTTTACAGCAGGGGTCCTCAAGCTTTTTAACCAGGGGGCCAGTTGAAAGCTGCCGGTGCTGGGCGTGAGCCAGAAAGGTGGTGCTGGTGGTGCGCACGGGCAGGCGCGGGGGCGGCATGTGCGGGTGCAAACAGTGAGGCGGGGGTGGGGCGCACGGCGAGGAAAGGTGAGGCGAGGCATGGGGGGGCAGGCACGCACCGCGACGCAGGCGCATGAGGCAGCGGCTTGCTCGCGTGGAGATCGCTTTCTCTGGGCGAGCAAACTGCTGCCTCCTCGCACATGGGGTGAGGTGGGCGTGTGGGCACGGGCGCATGTGCGGCGCGTCCAAATGGGCATGGCGGACCCGTGCTTTATAGGTTAAAAGCAGCACCTTGAATTGACCGCTCATTTACCCCGGTTACCTTGGGTGGAATTTAGATGGCAAGCTCTTTGCAGCAGGGACTTGTCTACTTGGTCTATGCTGACCAGCAACAGAGCATCAAGTACCACCACAACTTCAGAACTGGGTATGAGAAAAATGTAGGTGTGAGCGGAAGCCCAGCGTTCAAAGCAGACAGTGCTGCTACCTGTCACTTTCAAGAAAACCGCAGTTGGAGGCCAAATGGGACTTGACTGAATAGCACCGTGTGAGACGGAAGCAGTAAGATTATAACTGAAAGACCAAGGAACACATGGCTTGACTAGACTGCTCCAGAGTCAAGAACATTTGTTCTTAAATGTGGTCCTTGCTTCTAAAGATCATTTTATTTCCATTCCTTGATCTTCCTCTTTTCCACCTCACAAAGATAAGATGCATTTGGCTAATAAAAGAAACTGGTGGGCTACTTCTATACCCCACTTTTAACCAACAGGCAATCTGCGCTCTGGAGCCAATGAAAAACCATGGCGGTACAGCATTTCCTTCTTTTTAATGAATTATTTATTACAATAATTGTTGCTTCATCGAAAATATTTTATTTGAGACTCCAGGGGAAATTCGCATGACAGTCTGCATTTTTAAGAAGCAACATACTAATAAAACATGCCAGCTGTGATCACACTGGACGGCCGCAGGATCATACAAGCCAGAAAGTACAAGAACCAGCAAGACCAAAATAAAAAGGGGAAAAAAAGAGGAAAAGGTAATTCTCTGGTACTGGAAGAGCATTAAAGTATGTGCCAGAAGAATCTCTTTAGGGCAGCCATCCCCAGCCTGATGCCTTCCAGGGGTGCTGGGCTGCATTTCCCAGCTAACAGGGCTGCTCGGCTTATACATTCTTACCTGCATATGATTACTTTCCTGTCGTTTAACCTCAGGATTGATGCAAAGCTGCTCTCTGGAACCCAAAACGCACACTTTTGGCCTGTTTAATGTACACATACATACCAAGAAAAGGACACGGAAGTTTAAACACTGTAAGCCATTTTAAACACTGTAAGCCATCCTGAAATCTTTATATAATAGGACGGCATATAAAGGCTTTTAATTAATTAATTAATAAATAAATAAATAAATAAATAAATAAATAAATAAGGCAAGTATTCCAAACATTGTACAACTGAGTGGCAAAAACGAGGGCAGTGCTGGCACTCTGACATTTACTTTTTAACATTAAAGGACATTTGTCTTGTAAAATCAATATTCCCTCTGCTCTGAAAGTTCCTTGGCTGTGGCTGGAGAGTAGGCCAGCGGTAAGTAATAATCAGCATTAACAAAAAACCTTACTGCAAACAAGGAACAATTTCAAAAAGGGCAGGCACTTATAAATGGCCAATTTTTGCACCTGAGAAATAAGCAGCAGTATCTTAGATTTTCTTTACCTGTAAATTGTATTCTTTAATTCACCAATGGCCTGAGTAAGCTGGGAATGAGTTCTGGAGGCATAAATTATTTTGGGAACGTCAGTGTAATAAGCTGTCAAGCAGAGAAGGCGAGAAGTAGGGGGTGGGGAACAGAGGGGGAAACATTAGTTCTTGTTTAGTGCTAAATATATCATCAGCCTGCTTTTCCCCTGCTGGTGCTATGGTAACAACTCAGCTTGTGCAGGCAGTGTGGGGCTTTACAATCCAATTGCTCATCGATAGAGAACAAGAAGCACATTTGTATTGCCTCTAGTGAAAGATAGGTTTGCTTATTTGTTTGTTTATTTATTTGCCCCTGAATAACCCGATGGGGTTCTCTAAGCAGTGAACAACAGTAAAATACAGGCCAAAATTACAATTCCAAGTTATGGTGGGGTGGGAGGTGGAACAGCTGGTAGCACAGCAAGCTCTTTCAATCAGCTGGAAAAAACACATCTCAAAATACCTGTGAAAGAGGACAGGTTTTGCCAGGCACCGAAATGACAGTAGTGATGGCGCTAGGCAGACCTCTCTAGGATGCCCACTCCAAGATGGGGAGCGGTCATGAAGCAGGCCCTTCTTCTAATTACCATCCCTTTTACTTCGTCTAGGGATGGCCCTTTCAGAAGGACCTCATTCCCCGATCTCAATGGGAGGGGAGGAGTATATGGAAAAAGGTGGTCCTTCAAGTAAGCAGGTCCCAAGTCATTAAGGGCTTTATATGTTAAAACAAGCGCTTTACCTTGGGCTTGGGCTTCAACTGGCAACCAGTGTAATTTAGAAAGAATAGGTGTTATATGGGCTAGTAAACTGATACTTGATACCAGACGTGCCACCCTATTCTGGACCAGTTGAAGTCTCCAGACCATCTTCAAAGGCAGTCCTATATAGAGCGCATTACAGTAATCCAGTCAGTATGTTACTGATGCACCAGTTACTGATGCATGAGTATAAGGGAAGCCCCATGATGCCGTGGGGCTGCCCTTGAAGACAGTTCGGATACTGCAGGTGGTGCAAAACAGAGCAGCCAGGTTGCTGACGGGGACTGGGCGTTACTTTCACATAACCCCAGTCCTCTACCAGCTTCACTGGCTCCCCATCGAAGTTCGGGCTCAATTCAAGGTGCTGGTTATCACCTACAAAGCCCTTAACAGCTTGGGACCTGGATACCTAAAGGAACGCCTGCTTCCATATTTGCCCTCCTGCCCCCTGAGATCAGCAGCAGAGGCCCTCCTCCGGGAGCCCTCCGGGAGAGACATCAGGAAGCAAAGTACCCAGAGGAGGGCCTTCTCTGTGGTGGCGCCCCATCTGTGGAATGCGCTCCCCAGAGAGGTCCGCCTGGCGCCGTCATTATTTGTTTTTTGGCGCCAGGCTAAGACCCTTTTATTTAAAAAGTATTTTAACAACGTTTAATATCTATAGGTTTTAATTGTGCAGCCAGGGTACTTCCGGATTTTAATTGTATTTTGTATCATGTTTATTTATTTATGTGAGCCGTCCCGAGGTTGTAAGTGATGGGACAGCATACAAAAACTCTAAATAAATAAATAAGTAAGTAAGTAAGTAAGTAGCCATGGTTAGGCTCTGTTATCCAGATAAGGCTGTAGTTGTCATATTCACCACAACTGGGGAAACACTCCTGGCCACTAAGACTCCAAAGAGAGTTCTGAGTCCGCGAGGACTCCCAAGCTACAGACCCTGTCCTTTACAGGAAGCGCAACCCCAGCCAAGATAGGACAATGGCCATCTAATCCACCACACAGATCGCCAACCAACAGCACTTCTGTCTTGCCTGGAGTGAGTTCGTTTATTGTCCCTCATCCAGTCTATTATCGAACTTATTTTCCATGGAGCACCTGGAGCTAAATATCTGCAATGGCAGTGGGAGCTTTCCACTGCTTTAAGTTCAGTAAGACACCCCGTCCCCAAACGAAAATGTAGGACAGGGTTCCCAAGATATTCTCTTGCCTGGATCCTCATCCCACGGTGAAGGGAGGCCTTGTCACACACCCAGCCGTGCTTGCACAGGTTCAGGGCTCCCAACTTCCACACTCCCTGGGTGGACGTGCTGCTCCAAGGATGGGTGACTGACCTTCCACCAACCTGCCACACCGCTTGCCCCACTCCTTCATGCTGGGTCAGGCACCCCCTGCGAAAACCCTGGTAACACTTCCTTGGCGTTCCCAGATGAAGGTGCGAGTCTGATGGGACAGGACTTACCTGGGATGGGAGCACCTTGAACAACACTCCCCCAGGAGGACAGCGGTTGGTCAGGAAAGAGTTCTGCTCCGTTTAGTTGCTGGGCTATCTTCTGTGCAGAGACTGCATCTCGGAAGTGCTCCTGCCAAGCCAGGGTCGAACAAAGGAGGCATAATGTCTTCCCAGTGCCAGTGGGGCTCTCCAAAATCCCATTCACCTGCTTGAATGGTTGGGGAAAAGAAGAGAAGAGAAACATCTGGGAAACTGGGCCCTCACCTCCGTGCCAGTTGTCCGACAAGCACTTCCGCAAGGAGACTGCATCACTTCACCAAGAACAAGCAGATGCTTGCCAGATCCTGCTGGCCAGGAATGACAGAGACCAAGCTGCTAGAGAAAGCAGCTCTGGTCTTCCCACCTACATCTGCTGGAAAGACCTCGTTAGCCACGGCAAACTGTACCTGGGAAAGCCAGAGCAGCTTTCCCTAGTCACACACACAGATCAGAGAGAATGAAACGAACTGAGGGTCCCACTGCTGGCCACCTTTGCCCGCTTTCAAACTGCTCCTAAGAATAGTACGACACACATGCCATCTGAATGGCAGAATCAAACTAAGCTGCCCAACAGTGGCATTGTCTCCACTTTGCAGCATTCTGCTTGGTTTGCATAAAACACTTAGCTAAACATTTGCCGATGACTTTTTAGGTCAACCTCAGTTTAACATCCTGCTGTGAATATTCTGGAAATATCTTTCAACTCTGATTCTATGCCATAAAATGTTACAATCAAAACCAACTTTCTGGAAGGTGCTTTCTGGCTTCCCTTTCACTGGGGAAGAGTAATGTGCCAAATTGGATAGAACCACAGGGGCTATTCTTGTTCCACCGCTGCTGGGCATGGTTAAGAAAGGAGTTACAACGACGCCTCAGTACCCTTCCAGCCAGAACAACACTGTTGTGAGGACAGAGCAGGTGGACAAATGAAAAACAGGTGAGAAATGGCAGGCCGGTGATTCAAAAGTGACAAGCAGAGGACAGGGAAGTAGGAAGAATATTTCAATTTACAAAGCTGGTATACGGTATACCTAACACGCACAGCTCCTGCCTCAGTTGCTTCTAATAATCCTTCCTCATCTGTTAAGCACCACTCCTTTGCAAATATGAACCCCCAACCCTAACAAATCATCTCACAGGCCCCACCTCTGCTTTTCTGGGTGTCCTTCCCTTGCAACTGTTATCCCACCTCTCTCTCCTTTATAAATTTCCATACAGTTCACATCACCCCTTCCTTGCTCTTGTTGTTCCTGCCTTCTTCTTAGCCCCGTCTCTGCCCCATAACAGAGATTCCACATTATTCTTGAACTGTTCCTTCTTTCTTTGCCATGCTTCTTAAGTTCCTCTGAGGCTGAGAAAGGAGAGAGGGAGGCAGAAAAGAGACACTGCCACTAGTACACTGTGCATGCAGTGTGCATTTCAATGTCTCCAGGTATTTAAGAACATTAGATGAACTGAGAAATAAACACCTCATGGACAAAAAGACTGTTGAGAAATTGCATTTAAAATGATGGAGGCTTTTATACTGGAGCGCACATGAGACCCACACAAGAACCTATCACCACAGCACCTGCAAGATCAAGCTGTCACTTTTGAAACCAATGCCCAGGTGTCCACAAGAGATGGTAGGGCTTTTGAGCAGAACAAGAATAATAAAGGTTTACCAAACAGACTCTGGGCCCAATGTTTTGTTAGAGACTACACTGCAGAGGAGCCAAGCAGATAATAGAATGCATTGTATCAGTTCCTGACACTTAAGAACAGATTGTATGAGCATAAGGACCACTTGTTTGCTTCATTTCCCTCATACAGAAGTGTAGGAGAAAACCCACCTACTCACTTCTCTGCAAATGGACCTTATGGAAACATGTCTGGCATTGATAGGAGAAGGATATGCAAAACGTGCTTCTTTTCAGGAAGCGTTAAGCAAGTTTCATATGTTCAAAGTGCATCTGTTCTGCACAGTACAAAAATATCTTTGAAATACAAGCAACGCAGGTTGACATCTTTTATCAGGCCACTTTCAGTCAATGAGAGTTTATGCTGACATTTTACATTTTTAAAAAAATGTGATTAGGACTCCATTGTTTATAGTACAATCCTAATCTTACGCCCTGTGCACAAGAGCCAAATAGGCCAAGAGAAGAACGAAGACAAAAACGCCTCCTGCTAGTCCTTTTCTTGACATTTTCATTCTTATGGATTGTACAGTATTGCAAACATGGCTACGAACAATATTTATACTTAATATTTATATACCACCCCTTCCCATAGGTTCTGGGCTGTTTACAAGAAATTAATGTTGATACATGCAAGGAACATTATTTAAGAGACCGTAAAATACCCTAGTCTAGGAAAAATCAACTGATGATCCTTGGTTACTTAACAGACATTAATAATACGACCTGTTAGCCTTATGCCCATTGTAGAAAAAACAATGGAAAGGCTCATAATAGAGAGAGATCTAGTGATGCTAGATAGGGAAGGGAGGCTGACAGCCACACAACACGGCTTCCGCAAAAACAGGTCCTGCCAGACAAACCTTGTGGGATTCTATGACAAGGTTTTGAGATGGTTAGATGGAAGGGATGCAGTGGATGCGGTATACCTGGATTTCAGCAAGGCCTTTGACATAGTACCCCATGATATCCTGGTGGAGAAACTAAGGAGCTTTGGGATACACCAAAGCACTGTCCGGTGGATTAGGGCATGGTTGACTGACCAAAAGCAGAGGGTAGCCATTAGTGGGGAATCGTCGGGATGGCGGCCAGTGACAAGTGGGGCCCCCCAGGGCTCTGTCCTGGGGCCAATCCTGTTTAATCTTTTCATAAATAACATGGAAGAAGGGGTAAACAGTCTGCTGATCAAATTCACAGACGATACTAAAACTGGAGCAGTGGCCACAACTGAGGAGCAGGTACTCCAGATCCAAAAGGATCTGGACAGACTATGGAAGTGGGCAGGAGACAACAGGATGGCGTTCAATGTGGATCAGTGCAAGGTCTTGCACTTGGGGCATAGGAATAGCTGTCGTAAGTACAGGTTAGGGGACAAGTGGCTGGAGAGCAGCACTTGTGAAAGGGACCTCGGGGTGCTGGTTGACTGCAGGCTGAACATGAGTCAGCAGTGTGATGCGGTGGTCAAGAGGGGGAACGCCACCCTTGGTTGCATAGCCAGAAGTGTGGCTTCTAGATCGAGAGAGGTATTGCTACCACTCTATGCGACTCTGGTGCGCCCACAACTGGAGTATTGTGCTCAGTTTTGGGCCCCTAGTTACAGAAAGGATATAGCCAGGTTAGAGTCTTTTCTTACTTCTTTTTTCTTTTCTTAGAATTTTTTGTATGCTGTCCCATCGCTTATAGCCTCGGGACGGCTCACATAAATAAATAAACATAATACAAATACAATTAAAACCCAGAGACACCCTGGCTGCACAATTAAAACCTATAGATGTTATTGAACTTTGTTAAAATATTGTTTAAATAAAAAGGTGCAGACCTTAGTGCAGAGTCAGTGCAGCGTAGGGCCACAAGGTTGGTGGCCGGTTTGCAGGGGATGCCGTATGAGGCGAGACTGAGAGAACTGGGTCTCTTCAGCCTGGAGGAGACTCAAAGGGGATATGTTGGCGACATACAGGTATGTGAGGGGATGTCACATGGAGATGGGTAGAGACCTGTTCTCCCCTGCAGAGGAAGGCAGGACACACTCCAATGGAGCAAAGCTTCAGGGTACCAAGGTTCCATTTGGATGCCAGGAAGCACTTCCTGACAGTTAGGACCCCGAGGGTGTGGAATGGGCTTCCATGAGAGGTCATTGAGGCCCCATTGGTGGGGGTGTTCAAAGTTAGGCTGGACATGCACATGGTGGGCATGTTGTGACCGGAGCCAGATGGTGCCGGAGGTCAGACTAGATGGCCCAGGAGACCCCTTCTGACTCGCTCTGTTTCTATGTCCTCACATTTCTCGCGCCTTTTCACATAGACCCCACTTCAAACATAGGTTTTAATGTGTCCCTCCCCCCACCTGAGGTTTCTGAGATTTACCTTTTGCAGACACTCCAGCACTTTGGACATGTATGCTTCCTGGCATTTGTAGGGTTGAAATGGAAAATCCACAGTGATGCCATTTAATTTTATTTTCGGCATGTTTCATCAGAATGTCCGAATCTCATAGCCTGAAACCAAAAGCATTTTCCTTAAGTGCAAGGGACTTCTTTGCTAAAAACCAGCAAGAACATCATTCTCAAACTCCTACACCCAGTTCCTACACTGAAAGAACTGAAGAGCATTTACAATCTGACACCCCAACCAAATGACAGAGACCTAGGTGGTTGCCAGCCAGCAGCCACACCATGCTGAAGGACTAGAAGGAAACCTGTCCTAACTCTGCCCTTGCTAACAAATGATGCCATCTATGTGGTACCATTCTTAGAACATGTTGCACTGACAATAGTCAAATAAAAGGTGGTCCGATGACTAGGTGTTGATTATGCATAGGCTTGCAACCAGAGAATCTAAGGACAAACTGGATCTTCATTTTGCTATATCTGTAGTTAGTTTATCTGTGAGAAGTATTAGGGATAAACTGCTCTGCTCAGTGGGCGGCCTTAAAGCTGAAACATGGCCTCTTCGAAGGTGTACAAACCTAGAAGAGATAGATTGGGCCATTCTTACATAGATTTCAAGGAAGGGAGCTTTGCATCCACGCATGACACTGCTTAGGAATAAGAAGACTGCCATACTGCTTGTCTTCAGTAAAAGCAGTCTGACACAGTGCAGCTGTAGAGTGCTCAGGTACAGTTGTTGGCCTTTCCAGTTAGTAGGATCCCAGAAAACAAGGATGGGAAAGGTCTTCATCTGATATCCTAGCGAGCTACTACTGCTGGGTTAGAGTGGGCAGTACAGGCCTAAATGGTCCCATGTTCTTTGGCTCAATTATATCTCAGTCACCTGTATAGCTTGGCAGCATTTAACTGGTGAAAGGCAGTATGGTGTAGCAGGGAATCTGGATTCGGGTCTCTGCTCAGCCATAGTGGCAAGGCAGCGACACTGGGCCAGTCACAGACTCTAGGCCCAAGCACCCTCACAGGGTTGTTGTTGTTTTTGTGAGGGTAAGACTGAGAGCAGCAGAATGATGTAATCTGGTTTGAGTTCTTTAAAAATAAAAACGTGGCATTAATGGAACACATAACACTACTACTATGAAATCCCAATAATCATGCGGTGGAAAGTGATACATTTCCAACAGCAATGAAAGAGGCTAATATTTGAGGACATCCTGTTTTTCTCTTCCTGTCCTCCAGCAGAACATGCTATTATATGCTACAGTACCTCTAGGCTAGTCTTAGTGCTTTCCAGGTGGGATAAAGCAGAATCCCCCAGCAAGCCCAGGGTAGGGTTGGGGTATTCTGGGAATTACATTCCAACATATCTGAAGGGCACCAGGTTTATTTATTTATTTATATTTATTTTTGGATTTATATCCTGCCTTTTTCCTACAAAGGGCTCAAGGCAGCTTGCATCATTCTCCTCCTTCAGCTTATCCTCACAACAACAACCCTGTGAGGTAGGTTGGACTGAGAGTCTGTGACTGGCCCAAAGTCACCCAGTTGGCTCCATGGCCAAGCGGGGACTCAAACCCAGGCCGTCTGAGTCCTAGTCCCATGCTCTTAACCACCACACCGGCTCTGGAAAAGGCTGTTTTAGGCACTGCAGCTGCAGGAAGCAGGGTTGCAGCCCGCCACACAGCTGGACAACTCCCATCATGGAAACCAATGTGGCATAATAGTTAGAGTGTTGGACTGGGGGCCTAGAAGATTCACATTCTAGCCCCCACCCCATGATGCTCACGGGGTAACTCTGGGCCAATCCCACTCTCAACCCAACCTACTTCACAGGCCTGTTGTGGTCAAGATAAAATGCAAGTATGCAAGCCACCTTGGGTTCTTCACAGGAGAAAAAGGGTAGGATATAAATACAAAATAATAATGGCCTCACCCTGGCTAAGGTGGGCAACTTTGCAGCCACGAACATCTAAGGAGCCACACGCTCCCTGCCCCTGCCTCTAGTGGAAGCCTTTCCCAGCCTGGTGCCCCCAGATGTCTCGAGCTACAGGTCCCATCTTCCCCAGCCGGCATCAGGTTGCGGGGGAACTGCTCTGCCGCTGTTCCCGCCGCCGCCTGAAGACTTGCGCCACCCTAGCAAGCGGAAAGGGAGAGGCCCGAGACACGGAGACCGCCCGGGGGCTTCTCCTCCCGCGGCCCCAGCGCATCGTCGCAGCGCCCGCCACCGGGAGCCCTCACGCACCTCAGCGCCAGCGCCAGCGCCAGCGCCATTCCACGTCCCCGCGCGCTCCGCCACGTGACGCCCCCCTCTCACCCGATTGGCCAAGCAGCTTTCCTCCGGTCTCCGTCCTTCGGCGCGCGCGCGCAAGAGAAAGCCTCTCGTCTGCAAGTTCTCGCGAGGCAGCGGCGCGCCGTTGCCTCGGCAACGCGAGGGGGGGGGAGAGGCGGCAAGCTGCCGTTCCCTCTCCGCGAATTGCTGAGTGTGGGGGGATTTGGTGGTGCCGCCGCAGCCAAGGCCCCGGCATGGTTCTCGTGGGGCCAGAGGGGCTTCTGCTGGTTCCTCTCTCGGGTGCTTTACCGAGCTTCAGAGTAAAGAGGGGCAGAATGACTGGGCCTCCCGGCAAGCCCACAAACGGCAGCGCAGGAATCCCTGCCCACCCCACCCCTCCTGTACTGAACCAAGGCCCTCTGCAGGTTTCCTGTATAGCCATGTGGTGCAAAAGTGCAACTCCCAACATTACTGAAGTGGAATATGATCAATCGGGGAAAAGCAAGTGTTGCTTATATATGCTGGCTGAGGCATCCTGTGAGATGTAAGCCTTCCTGTGCTCTAAATGCTGCTGTCTAGATTGGCACACAGTGCACCTTGAGAGAGTTTTGAAGCCCATGTCGTGCATCAGGGGTTTGCTGTTGTGATTTGCTGTCAAGTTGTCCCCGACTTATAGTAACTCTACAGAAGGTCCTCTCCTTGACAGCCCTGCTTGGCTCTTGTAAACAGAAGGTTGTGGCTTCCTTCATGGAGCCAATCCATCTCAGAGTTGTGCTTCCTCTACTTCTGCCTTCTACCTTCCCTCACTATAGTGAGTCTTGCCTTCTAACGATGTGCCCAAATTAAGACAGCCTCAGTTTCATCATTTTAGCTTGCAGGGCAAGTCTACTGTGCACTGTCTAAAGTTGTGTTGTTTTGTTTTTGACTGTTTTATATTTTAAGTTGATCAGTTTTTGGTGAGGTATTGGAAAATCTGGATAGAAATGTATTAGAGAAATAAATACGTTGAGCAAGCGGATTTTTTTGCCTCACATTGAATATTTCTATAGAAAGGCAATTCCAGAAATCCAAAAGTAAAAAATAAACAAGATGATGTCATGACATAGAAGGAGAATAACTGGTACAGGATTCTGAAAAGTTTTGAAATCAAGCACTTCCCCACAGCTCTGGAACCTCTGCTTTCAACAGTGATTTATTTATTTATTTAGAAAATTTCTATGCCGCCCCATTCGCCGAAGCCTCGGGGCGGCTTGCAAATAAATCAGTTAAAATACTATAAATTAACAATATAAAACAAGTTAACAATAGAAAATAAGTCACCCTGGCCAAAGAATAAAATAAATAAATACTATTAACAGTTAAAATGATGCTTGAATAAAAAGGTCTTCGTCTGGTGCCGAAAAACAAATAACAACGGCGCCAGGCGGACCTCTCTGGGGAGCGCATTCCATAGATTGGGCGCCACCGCAGAGAAAGCCCTCCTCCGGGTACTTACCCTCCTAATTTCCTTCATGGAGGGTTCCCAGAGAAGGGCCTCTCCCACTGATCTCAGGGGAGATATCATTGTATCATTAGAAATCTACCTAAAACAGCTACTTAATGTAATTTATTTGCTTAGTTGCGATCACTACATTCTACAACAACTACAACAGCTGTCATTTCTGCTTGCAGTGAATGCTATCAAAGTTACCAGCCATGAGACCAAACCAAAGAAATTTGGTTGGATTCTGCCAACCAAGTATTGAAGTATATTTAGAGAATCCATTCCACTATTTCAAATATAAATTCAGTAGTTAGCCTTAGACTGTTACCTTAGAACTGAAAATCCAAACCAGCTTGTTCCCCTCTCATCAGTTAGTGGTTTGGTGGGAGAGCCATTGTAATCACATTTCTGCTCGACAAGTGGCAGCTCAGCATTAGAAGCTTTTCCATCACACCTTCTTGACCTGTATCATTCATTATGTTTGGTTCTCTCACTACCTGGACCTAATAACCAAACTCCCTGATTATGGAATTCTTCCTTTCTGAATTCTTTACTCTTTTGCACTTTGTGAAGACCCTGTTGTGAAAAGACAGTCATAGTTTTGATGAACTGTGCTTACTTCTCTACTTTGATTTCATAGAATAGTAGAGTTGGAAGAAAGAAATGCAAGAAAGCAAAATGGCTCTCTGAGGAAGCTTTACAAATAGAGCCAGTGTGGTGTCGTGGTTAAGAGCATGGGACTGGGACTCAGACGATCTGGGTTCTAGTCCCCACTCGGCCATGCAGCCAACTGGGTGGCTCTGGGACGGTCACAGACTCTCAGCCCAACCTACTTCACAGGGTTGTTGTTGTGGGGATAAGATGGAGGAGGAGAATGATGTAAGCTGCCTTGAGCCCTTTGAGGAAAAAGGCAGGATATAAATCGAAGAATAAATGAATAAATAGCTGAGGAAAGAAGGGAAGCAAAAGGCAAGGGAGAAAGCAAAAGATATACCCAATTGAATGCAGAATTCCAGAGAATAGCTAGAAGAGATAACAATGCCTTCTTAAATGAATAGTGCAAAGAAATAGAAGAAAACAATAGAATAGGGAGGACCAGAGATCTCTTCAAGAAAATTGGAGATATGAAGGGACTGTTTCATGCAAAGATGGGCATGATAAAGGACCAAAATGGCAGGGACTAACAGAGGCAGAAGAGATTAAGAAGAGATGGCAAGATTACACAGAGGAAGTATACAAGAAAGAGCTTAACATCCCTGATAACCACAATGGGGTGGTCACTGACCTTGAGCCAGACATCCTGGAATGTGAAGTCAAATGGGCCTTAGGAAGTCTGAGCAACAACAAAGCTAGTGGAGGCGACAGCATTCCAGCTGAGCTATTCAAAATCCTAAAAGATGATGCAGTAAAAGTGCTACACTCAATATGCCAGCAAATTTGGAAAACTCAACAGTGGCCACAGGATTGGAAAAGGTCAGTTTACATTCCCATCAGAAAGAAGGGTAATGCCAAAGAATGTTCAAACTACCGCACCATTGCACTCATTTCACATGCTGGCAAAATTATGCTCAAAATCCTACAAGCTAGGCTCCAGCAGTATGTGGACCGAGAACTACCAGAAGTACAGGCAGGATTTCGAAGAGGGAGAGGAACTAGAGATCAAATAGCCAACATACGCCGGATCATGGAGAAAGCTAGGGAGTTCCAGAAAAACATCTTCTGCTTCATTGACTATGCTAAAGCCTTTGACTGTGTGGATCACAACAAATTGTGCCAAGTTCTTAAAGAGATGGGAGTACCTGCCCATCTTATTTATCTCTTGAGAAACCTATATGCAGGTCAAGAAGCAACAGTGAGAACTGGACATGGAACCACTGATTGGTTCAAAATTGAGAAAGGAGTTTGGCAAGGCTGTATGCTGTCGCCCTGCCTATTTAACTTATATGCAGAGCACATCATGAGAAAGACGGGGCTAGATGAATCACCATTTGGAATTAAGATTGCTGAGAGAAATATCAACAACCTCAGATATGCAGATGATACCACTCTCATGGCAGAAAGTGAAGAGGAACGAAAGAGCCTCTTGATGCGGGTGAAGGAGGAGAGTGCAAAAGTTGGCTTGAAACTCCACATTAAGAAAACTAAGATCATGGCATCCGGTCCTCTCACTTCCTGGCAAATAGATGGGGAAGAAATGGAGGTAGTGAAAGATTTTATTTTCCTGGGCTCCAAGATCACCGCAGACGGGGACTGCAGCCAAGAAATTAAAAGACGCTTGCTCCTGGGGAGGAAAGCTATGGCAAATCTAGACAGCATACTAAAAAGCAGAGACATCACCCTGCCAACAAAAGTGCGTATAGTCAAGGCTATGGTTTTCCCAGTTGCCATGTATGGCTGTGAAAGCTGGACCACAAGGAAGGCTGAGCGCAAAAGGATTGAGGCCCTTGAATTGTGGTGCTGGAGGAGACTCCTGTGAGTCCCTTGGACCGCAAGGCGATCAAACCGGTCAGTCCTAGAGGAGAGCAACCCTGACTGCTCTTTAGAAGGCCAGATCCTGAAGATGAAACTCAAATACTTTGGCCACCTAATGAGAAGGAAGGACTCCCTGGAGAAGAGCCTGATGCTGGGAACAATGGATGGCAAAAGAAGGAGGGGACGGCAGAGGATGAGGTGGCTGGATGGGGTCACTGGGGCAGTGGGTGTGGGCTTGAGTGGACTCCAGGGGATGGTGGGGGACAGGAAGGCCTGGAGGAATGTTGTCCATGGGGTCGCGATGGGTAGGACACAACTTTGTGACTAACAACAACAACAGAGTTGGAAGGGGCCATGAAGGCCATCGAGTCCAACCCCCTGCTGTTGCAGGACACCATGTTACACCCTCCCACTCAGGTGGCTGTCCAGTTTCACCTTGAATGTCCCCAGTGTGGGAGAGCCCACCTCCTCTCCAGGCAGCTGGTTCCACTCTTGTATTGCTCTGACAGTGAGGAAGCTTTTCTTGATGTCCAGCCTGAATCTGGGTTATTGCAACTTAAATTGATTATTCTGTCTCCTGCACTTGAGTATCAGCAATAAGAGATCTTGACTTTCCTCTTTGTGACAGCCTTTGAGGTATTCAGAAGACTATCATATCTCCCCTCTCTTCTCAAGGTTGAACATGTCCAGTTCTCTCAGTCTCTCCTCACAGGGCAGTGTTTCCAAACCCTGGATCATTTTTGCTGCCCTCCACTGGACCCTTTCTAATTTTTCTGCATCTTTCTTAAATCTTGGTGCCCAGAACTGAATTTAAATGGTGTGAACTAGTTTGGACTTTCTCCTGCCTTGTAATGTAGAGATCTCAAAGCCGAGGGCTTTGGGCATTGACACCTCTGCATTTGGAAACTTTGATGGACTTGCTATTGAACATGACGTCTTGGGTTTGTTTAGCCTGAACTCACAACACAGAGGTTCCAATTGTAGGGTACAAGGTTAGTTCTGAGCTCTGTGTGGGTGTATGGAATAGTTCGGCTCTTTCTCTTGAACTCTCGTGTTTGATTGCTTAAGTTAAGATAATTTCAAGAAT